ATCGGAGATGATGCTCTGGAAATATTCTCGGGAGATTATACTGGTGAAGTTATACTTGCGTATGGGAGTACATGAGTTTACTTACGGGATCAACGATTGTACATTTTACCCCATTTTACATAAATGTGTTTATATGATAATTTTAAAGAATCGTTATACCCGAGTATGTGTTACGGGATTTCGTAATATGGTGCTATTACAAACCTGATGAATTGTTAAACGTTAATCTGGTCATTTCGGGATAAATAGTTTGATTTTACCAAGATTTGTCAGTTGGATTAACGGCTTACGAGGTAAAGTCGTTAGTATATTATATTTGAAAACGTGACTTTTGGGTAACAATTAGTTACCGAGTCTGGTTAGTGATTAGGTTATTGATCACTGTTGTGGATATATTGATGAGATTAGACAAATTTTAATGAACTTGATATATTGTCTGAATAGGGTTGGACAAATGATAAACAGGAAGGCAACGTTCATATAGAGGCCAAAATAATAGTTAGTCTTCACTAACTAACAAAGTTAGTAACCTTACCCCTCTCTAGATTAATGATATCTAGATATGTGATAATTATTGTTTATATTCATAATTGAGTATAATACCTGAATTATTATTCGTTAATATTATATGAGTAGAGTAATTGTGATAATTGAAATTATAGTTGCCTGATGCTATATAAGTCATTAAATAGGATCAATAAGAATTTTAGTATTTTATTACTATTTGCGTAAATAGAAGTGTGTGATTGAGATACATAGTGAAGTATAATATCTATAAAGAGTACATTAGAAATATAAAATGTAGTATTAAAAGATACATTGTTAAATTTCAATAATTGAGACATGTAGTTGGATATTACTATATGCGCTAAGGAGTGATAATTTTTGAGATAAATAGTCGAGTAATGTTATACAATTTAATAAGTTAGAATATTTATAATATAGAGTTGTAGAGAAAAAGATGTAGCGACGGAGAGAGAGATATAGCCAGAGATGTAGAGAGGAAAATGGACAGAGTGAGGGATATAAAGTTTGAGATGTAGATATGGAGAGGGAGAAAAAGATATAGAGATAGAGATGTAGAGAGGAAGAGGGAGAGATAAAGATGTAGAAATGGATATGGAGAGAGATAGAGCTAGAGATGTATAAAGGGAGAGGGAGAGAGAAATAGAGCTAAAGATGTATAGAGGAAGAGGAAGATAGAGATGTTGCGATAGAAATAAAGATGAAGATAGAGATGCAGAGAGAGAGAGAGAGAGAGGAGAAGGGGATAGAGAGGTGGAGATAGATATGTAGACACACACATAGAGATAGATAGAGAGCGATAAAGATGTGGGAAGAAATAAGTAGATATAAATGTAGAAAGAGATAGCGTATGAATTATTAATCACTGAGAGAGAGAGAGCAAGAGAGAGAGAGAGAAAGAGGGAGGGAGGGAGAGAGAGAGAGAGAGAGTAAGTGTATAAAGCTATAGAGGGATATAGAGCATGAGTATAAAGATAGTGAAATTTAGTGTGTGTGTGTGTGTATAGGAGAGAAAGAGAGAGGAGTAGAGAAAAATGGAATAAGTATAGAAATGTAAAGAATGAGTATGAAATATGAGTATCTTGTGAAAGTATTTTGGCAGTTAAGTAAATGTAAGTCCATTACTATTGTATTTAGAGAAAAAAAGTTGAGCTATAATTATTATGTGAATTGAAATAAGGATTAATCACTAAGCTCTTTATAGCTTATATTTTTATGATGTGTGTGTTTTGTAGGTAAATTTATATAAGCAAGGAAAGAAGAAAAGAGATTATGATACCCAGCTCGTATCATTGTATTTAATTTTTTTTGAATAGACGCGGTTGATAACTACTTGTATTGGATTGTTAATGTAAGTTTACACCAATGTATTTTTGTAATAATAAATGGAAAATTTTGGGTGTACCTTGTATTAAAAATTCAGGTGTAACAATATATATATATATATATATATATATATATATATATATATATATATATATATATGGGAAAAGGGAATATACATTACAGCCCCACCTAAGCTTAGGTACTAAACCTTTTGAAAATACATTGTTTTACTATATAAAGATTACGGTTAACGGATTCACGATTAATACTTCAAGATGTAAATTCAAGATCGACACAATAGGGTTTAGGGTTTAGGGTTTAGGGTTTAGGGTTTAGGGTTTAGGGTTTAGGGTTTAGGGTTTAGGGTTTAGGGTTTAGGGTTTAGGGTTTAGGGTTTAGGGTTTAGGGTTAGGGTTTAGGGTTTAGATTTAGGGTTTAGGGTTTAGGTTTAAGGTTTAGGGTTTAGGGTTTAGGGTTTAGGTTTAGGGTTTAGTAATGTTCACTTGGGTGAAGTAATAAACGATAATTGAGGAAAGAAAACAGAGATGGTAAAACGATAATGAAAGAAAGAAATGTTATGGAGGATGGTATATTACCAAGTGAAACCAAACCGGGTATATTTAGCATGTTAAAACGACATATTTTAGAGGTTTAGTACCTAAGCTTAGGTGAGGCTGTAATGTATATTCCCTATCCCCTATATATATATATATATATATATATATATATATATATATATATATATATATATATGTGTGTGTGTGTGTGTGTGTGTGTATGTATATATATATATATATATATATATATATATATATATATATATATATCTATATGTATACATACTCACTAAAATCTTTATAAGTGTACATGTATTTATTTATTGCTTTAGGGGCTGTTTGGCAGGATCTGAATTTTTAAGAAGTTTGAATTTCTAAGAGGGTCTGAATTTTTAAGATCTGAATTTTTAACATGTTGTTTGGTTGGAACCTCTAAATTGTTGTGCTGAATTATAAAAATGACAATTTTACACTTATGTCTTATTTTTCTTTGAATTCAATGTTTCTATTTATAAAATAACCGAATCAAACTCCTTAAATAATTATAAAAAAATATAAACACCATACAAAATATTATGCTCTAATAGGAAGAGGTGAAAGTATGATACTATAGTAAAGAAATATATAAAAGTACATTGCTATTTCATGTCTTCATCCTTACAAAAACAAGCTTATAATAGGCTATGAAAACAAACTTGAAATGTATGTTTATATGGATCACATTAAAAAAAAGCCTTTTTATGTAAAATTCCAAAAGAAGACCAAAATGCCTCTTAAAAATTTTCTTGCACCCAACCTTTAAACCATCAACCAACTCCTTTCTTCCGGCCATCCAAAGTCTCGATGCTTCATACAATCAGAATAACCTAGGGGTCGTTTGATATAGGTTCTAACTGGGTCCAAAAAGGGATTGGGTCCAAAAAAAAAACAATTGGCATGTTTGATAATGATTTGAAAGTCAAGGACTCGGTCCAAAATGTGGACTCGGTCCAAGGTTTTCATCAGATTCGGTCCCCCCTTTTCTATTGATGGACCGAGAAGAAAAGTATACAATTCCCGCTTTGCCCTGATACTTTCAACGCCCATCGTGAATGACCCAACCTTTTCTCCCTCTCTAGCTTCTGTCTTCGCTGGAGTTTTCTCCCCCTTCTGCCATTGTCGACACAGCCCTCCTCCTCCACGTACTCAACGTAACGATTCTCCTCCATTTACCCAACGATGCATCCTTGATTCAACATACTCCATCGCAGGTCATCCATCGCCGACCTTATCCTCCATCTCCGCCGGTAAGGCCTACAATCGATTTCTGATCCCCTTTATCTCTGATCCTCGTAATATTTAAACTTTTTCATTCGTTTTTTGCAATCGATTTTTGTAGGGTCTGTAATCAGTTTCTGCAATTGATTTCATTTCATGTTTATCTCCGTTAATCCCTTATGCGCTTCATGCTCTGTTTGTCTTTACAACTAGATATGTTTTCAGTTAAATTTGCTTAAAATCAGTTATGCCTTCTATGTGTTCGACAAAATGCCCCTGTCATTTATGCCTTCATCATATCTATTTGTTTAGAGGTACACAACTTTATTTATTATATTATAAGAATATGATATGATATTTCTATAGCCAAACCATTCGGTGGTGAGAATGAAGGATTTTTTTTTGTGAAAGAGATTGCATTTTCAGCCAAATACATTCCAGATTTAAGCATCTTTGATCAACATTGTGGAAAAAAAGGGAAAAGAATATGCATATTTGTTGTCAAATATGGTTGATGGTGTCCCAAAGAAACCAAGAAGTTCTCAATCACAGAATGAACCCACAAACATATATATTGTATATTGTAGATTAATGGTTCTTTGTATTGAAAACTGCTTTGTGCTTGTATACATCTTTTTTGAAGAATGGTTGTAAATTACATCATTTTGTAAATTATATCATCTTGTTTTGAAGTATTCAGTCAATTTCATTGTTATTTTTGAATATTTTTATGAAAATGTAATGTTATAAATTAAATGATAAAGCATAAAGGAATTAATATAAAAAATGTTGTTTGGGGGTAATATAGTCACTTTGCACAATCAGTCAGATGCAAAATCAAACAACAAGTTTCAGTCAGAAGTTAACTCAGTCAGAACTTCTAACCGAGTCAGCTTCTAATTCAGTAAGCTCTGACCCAGTTAGCATCTATCAAACGACCCCCTAGTCTCACTTGATAATAACAACGAAAAGACCATTATGCCCTTTTTTCTTATTTTTGCAGCAAATCATTCAATATTTTTATATCTTCAATTCAGAAACATTAATACCCATGAAACTGCAACTAAGGGCATGATTACATAATATACAATCTAAACATTAATACCTATCAAACACAACTTTGTGATTTGATTAAAAAACCATTATGTAAAGCATACATTGATAGAACCTCACAGGACTTTTCACAAACAGTTGGTGTGCTTAAGAGCTTCAATGAGGTGCAAATAAAAAGCCATTAAGTTTCTTAAGAAATTGACTGTGTATTTCCAAAATTGATTGAATGGAACATTGGATCATATACTATAGTATAAGAGAAGCAAATAAAAAAGAGGGGGAATGAAAAATCATACAGAGGCGACGGAGGAAAGTGTGTCGAGTTTGGTTGCTTATTATAGCCAAGTGAGGAAGATAAAGCGAGAGCTGGAGAAACCGAATCATCTGGCAGTAATTGAGCAGTCGGAGATGAGATCGGTGTTGCGAGAATTTTCGAAATCGCAGAAGCATTTCCGCTCATCTTTGGGGATTTCCGATAGGCCTCGATTGATGGCGATGGCGGCGCGGGAAGAGGCAGCTGGTGGCGGAAGGGATATCATAAGGTTGTCATGGTGCAATCGGAGATGCAGTAAGAAGGAGGCGTCGACGTTTGTGAAAGAAAGAGAAGAAGGAAAAGATGAAGTATTAGGGCAAAAGAGGAACGCGCGTTCTTTTCTTTAATTCAGACACATCCCAAAATCTGAAAAATTAAGAGGCATCTAACAAATTAAGAGGTATAAATTCAGAAGCTACCAAACGGTCTAGATCTTAAAAATTAAAAGACTGCCTCTTAATTTTCCAATTAAGAGGCAAACAAACAAGGCCTTAGTGTAGCATATTCATTGATTGTTTACATTTGTTTATAAATGAAAATATTTGATAAATGTAAATGAGTTTGTTTTAGTTGTTACAATTTCCTAATTTTAGGTTATTTCACATATACATCCATTGTGTTATTTTGATGTATATTATTCTTTAAGATTAAGATTTTGTTATTTGTGTTTTTTGATATATGTTTTTGATATTATAGTCAACTCACATCTTCCCTTATTAACAAATTCGTAGAACATAACTAAAAACACAAAATAATAAGGATGATTTTATAATTAAAATGTATTTTCATTTATTTACATTATCTTTTTATTACATTAGAATTTATTACCTCTTCGTGTTGTAAAAAATTTCAATCATATATATCCGAGTGAAGTATTCATGAATAATTATATTTTTCTAGTTATTACATACTTGACGACAAAAACCAATCAATCAAAAAATGTAGGATATTACAAAACTAAATGTATACATCTTCTAACTAATTGTAACAAATAAATTTAAATACATTCTTCTTTTTTCTTTTGGCTCCTAGTATATAACCATAAATATTTCTTGAAATATAAAGAAGGTAGAATGAAAAAAATGTGATCATAAATTAAAACTGATATTATCACTAGTATATAACCATAAATATTTCTTGAAATATAAAGAAGGTAGAATGAAAAAAATGTGATCATAAATTAAAACTGATATTATCACCTAAATAACTTTTATGCTTTCAAAACTTTGATTATCATAGTACCTTTAGTTTTTCCCAACTTATTTCATCATTCACATTTTTTTATTATAAGTAACTAAGCCTGAAATAATCATCTTATATAAGCAAACATATCAATTAATCAAGGAATTAATTAACATGCATTGAAAGTGTGAGAGTTTCAAATGAATATGATTCCAGATAAATGATTTATCTTAAATTATATTGATTTAGATGATCTTATTTCTAAAATATTTGAGAAATACAAATGAGTTCTTTTTGGTTGTTACATTTTAAAGATTTTAGGTTGTTATACATATACATCTATTGTGTTATTTTGATGTACATTATTCTTTAAGAATAAGATTTTGTTATTTTTTCTTTTTGATATTTTAATTAACTCACATCATTCCCTTATTTACATGAACTTCATCATTAGTGTATTAATCTATCATATCCATCTATTATTAACAAATTCTTAGAACATAACAGAAAACACAATATAATAAAGACGAATTTATAATTTAAATGTATTTTCATTTCTTTAAGTTTTTTTGTCACATTATAACTGAATACCTCATTATGTTGTCAAAAAAATTCAATCATATATATTCGAGTGAAATATTCATGAATAATTTTGTTTTTCTAGTTATTACATACTGACGACGAAAATAATCAAAAATATAAGATATTACAAAACTAAGAGCATACATATTCAACTAATTGTAACAAATAAATTTAAATAAACACAAAATTGGAAGAATGGTCTCTGTGGTATGTCAAAACTTATATGTTTGAGCCACTTAAGTTTGAACTAGCATCAGTGGTCCAAAAGTTTTATTTTCTTGCGAGTTTGGTCAAATTTTTTCAAAACTTTTTAAAAAGACAAAATTACCCTTGGTACTTTCTCTTTTTCTATTTTTTTATTATAGAAATCAATAAATAAAAAGAAAAAAAAAATACCCACCCCACCTACCTACCTCTCTGTCTCTCTCTTTGTCACTCTCACACACACACATACACACACTCTCTCTCTCTCTCTCTCTCTAAAACAAACTCATCCCTGTTCAGAAAAAGAAAATACGGTCACTGGTGAGGCTTTCGACGATTGTATCATCCGGCGGAGAGGGTTCCGACGGATCTGAAGAAGTGAGAAAACCGAAGCCGGCTACCACCACCTCTACCTTCGCTTCACTTGAGCTGTTCAACAAAGACAAAACCGTCGATCTGAACTCCAGAGAGTCTTTCCAGATCTGAACTCTGGCGAACATATGGTCCTTGTTCTTGCAGATTTGAACTCTGTCACCTCCAACAGATCTCGTTCACGACGATATGAGATCTTCTTCACAGACCTTGTGCTCCACTGATCTTCATTCGTTTATGTGTGAGAGACAGATAACGATATTCTAGATATGTGCCAGAACACCACCTCCTCGCCAGCTAACGATGATCTAGGGGTTCCACTCCCGACAATAACGACATTCCAAATCTGCGATGAATGGTGGAGGCTACGAAGGACAGGGTTAGGATTTCCAGATCTGCAAATGAGATCTTTAACGATGAGGGTTTAAGGATTTGTAAATGGAAAAAGGATAAGATGAAGGGTTGCGCCTGATGAAAACTGGAGTGGAAGAGAGGGAAAATGAATGACGACGACGATGGTAGGGCGGCGGTGATGTTTCATATTATCGATTTGTTTTTTCATTCTCGTTTTCTAGAGGTTTGCAGATCTGGAAAACTGAGTTTTCAGAGTTTTTTTTAAAGATTTGGAAAATTTAGTTCTTGATTTTAGGGTTTTTGATTTTGCAAATCTGGAAAATGTATTATTGCTCTTGAGATCTAAAAAAAATAAAGTTTATAGAAATATAATGTTCTTAAATGTTTTTGAGTAATTTTGTTCTAGTTTAAATGTTTTTGAAAACTTTAGTTTGTAGAAAAATCATTTGTTCATGAAGGTGGTAGAAGGCGAACGATGGTGTTAGTGGTGGTGGGAGGTAGGAAGTTGAATGTAGTCTCTGAACACTTCGTGTTCATAATGTTCATCAGTGAAGAACAAATGAAGCTTTGTGTTCATGGGTTTTAGAGAGAGAGAGAGTGTTTTATTTTTAATTTTTTTTACTTGTTATAATAAAATAAAAATAATAAATAAAATAATAAGGGGCAAATCCGTCATTATAAAAATGTTTAAAATACTTTGGACTAAACTCGCAATAAATCAAACATTTTGACTACTGGTGCGAGTCTAAACCTTTTTGGATCAAACTTACGAGTTTTGACATAAGACAAGGACCTTTTTGCATTTTGTCTTAAATAAATTTATCCTTTTCTTTTGCTCCAAATGTATAACCATAGATATTTTCTTGATATATAAAGAAAGTAGAATAAAAAAAAATGCCAGTAAAAATGAAATTGAGAATATCACCTAAATAACTTTTATTATCATATTCACTTTTTGTTTTCTCCAACATATTTCCTCATTCACTTTTTTTTTCATTGTGAGTAACTAAATATGAAATAATTATCTTATATAGATAAACATTATAATTAATCAAGGAATTAATGAACCTAAGTCGAAATGATAAAAGTTTCAAATAAATATGGTTCAAGATACATAATTATCTTGAATCATATTAATTTAGAAAGCATTATATATATATATATATATATATATATATATATATATATATATATATATATATATATATATGTGTGTGTGTGATTACTATATGCTTGACTATGTTTGCGAACTTTAAGACCATGATATTTTGATATATACTCGAGTTCGGCTCGATAAAGTACTTGAGTAACTCGAGCTTGAGTTGTCTTGATTAAAACCGAATCGATTTTGAATATCTTTCGATTCGGTTTTGAGTTTCTTACGAGTTGTCACTATTCGATTATGATCTTATTTTGTATTTTTAGATCATAAAAAACAAGTTTAATGTGTTATGAGAATAACAAGTCAAAGGTAGACTTGGTTTCAAATTTTATGACAATAGAATAAAAGAAATATAAAATTTAATGAGAATGTTATGAAACAAAAAGGAAATTCATAATGAGAATGAAACAAAAAAGGAAATTCATAATGAGAATGAAACAAAAAAGGAAATTCAAATGATACAATCTTTTTGAAAAAAAGTTAAAGTGTTTAAATAAAAGAAATAGTGATGTTTGGTTGATATTTAATGATTTTGTTACCACCTTAAAGTATGTAAGTTCATGGCCATATAAAGTAATTGTAAAAAAAAAAAAAAAAAAAAAAAAAACAAACGGCTCGAATATTTTCCTTTTGCCCTTCTATTGATATGAATGGTTAACCTTTTAGGCCATGCCTCTTTCATTTCTGTGAATCGTTAATATTTTAGGGACATGCCTACTTTTTCACCATGTCTTCGATCTTATATTTTTTTATTGTAAATGGCTATTAATAAATCAACATGTAGGCGTAGGCCCCGTTTGGTACGCATCTTTCCAAGGTCTAAACAGATCTTTTTGGCTGAATGGATCAGAAAGACTGTTTGATTTGCACAAAAAATGAGTCTTTCCTGGTAAGATATGTCTTTCGCAGAAATCCCCAAAATCATATCTTTCTGGCTGAATGGGCTGAAAAGACAATTATGCACCAAACTCTGCCTCTTTCTTTCTTTCTTGGATTATTATTTTTTTTTAAATAACTTTTTTTTAATTTATTTTTTATTGAATTATTACTTTTTTCATCATTCAGCACAGTCAATCAGATGTACAATCAAACAGCATGATTTCTTTCCCAGTCAGAAAACTTTCCCAGACAGCACTTTAGCGGACAGAAACTATTAAACGGGACCTTAGTTATACCAAAAATAAATCATTTTTTTTATTTAAAATACATGTTAATCCTTGAGGCATGTAGCTGGTAGACAGGTGTGAAATTGTTAATAAGCATGCTCAATGTCCAAATCAGAAGACCTTTAATCTATAATATTTTAATTACCTTTTAATATTTTCTTTTAATCTTCATCTTTATCTTATTATTATTATTTTTTTTCATTTTATAAATTTAGACTTAAACGCATTCCAAGATTAAAATTACAACCCAAATTCTAACATCTAAATCTAAATAAAAATTGAAATATCTCTACATAACAGATCTTCAAACCAAAGTATAAATCCAAATTAAAATGTTTTGACGTATCAAATCATGAGACTAAGACTATCAACATAAATACGATGCCGTTGATCTTTTTCAACTATGGGGCATTTTTCTTATTACTTTTTATATTAGTATAATATCATTTTTTTTTATTTTTTCAAAAGTGATCTATACGGACACATTAATTATTTATATTTAAGAGCATCTTCAAAATAAGATCTTTCTAGTTGACCATATTTATGAAAAAGTTTAAAATTAAAATAAAGTAATGAAATCTTCACAATATAAAAGTTTTTTTTATTATCTTATTTACTAGACCTATTAATCTGGGGAATTAGGAGCAGAAACATAAAAATTAGAATTTTTAATCAGAGATGATACATGTCAAAAAAAACTTCTACCATTAAATATAATTTTGGTTTGTTGTTCCTTGCTTGGCGGCTTGCTAAGCTTGGTTAATAAATTTCTCGTCAGTTCAGATAAAAAAAATTAAATATAATTTTATTTGTAGTGATTGTTGCTTCATGGGTTGCACTTGCCCATGTCACAAAATATGGTACTAACATTAAACATTCCATAAGGAAGCTTTGTGGACAGATAATGGACCAAAGTTTAGCAGAACCACTAATCGACCCTAATGGTATATTGATGTTCCTATGACATAATGACAAAAGTCAACGAATTGATTTTTTTCATTCCGTTGAGCGCTGTGACCAGATATGGATGCATTATTTTGAGGGGTACCTCTAAAACACCACATTGATATGTTCATCAAAATTCAACCTATACTTAATTATTTACAATTTCAACTAATAAAAATACTTTAAAACTAGGTAATATGTATTTTGAATAGTGGCAAGTAAATAAACAATTTTGCATATTTATAAAAACAGAGGTTTTGAAAAATCTATTAGGCTGGTGGGAGTTTGGCATGACTTGCCTGTCACTTTTACCACAAGAGATGCATGACATGCTGTTTTAGGAGGTGGGTTAAATTGATAAAAAAAAACTACAAAGAAAAAAATAAAAAAATAAAGATACACTCACATGCACATTCTTTCTTCTCTCTCACCTCGGCATTGAAATGTCGTTTGCTTCTTCCTTCATCGACATGCTGACATTGAGGGGCGGTGTACGACGAGCATGCCGAGCAAATGCTGACCTCTTGCCGGCTCCATTCCTCTCGGTCTTAGGTTTTACGTGTCTGTTTTCATTTGAAATTAGTGACTTCACTTTAATTATATACCATTATTATGATTTCAATATAATTAATTTTGTAAACGAACACGTTTATGTTGTATTCACATATGTCGAACATGTAAGTATATTCCATATGTTTTACTGTTATTCTTAGTAGAAGATTAAAAATAATTGGTCCATACAAGGAGGATGTTTAGTTGCAATCATAAATGGTTTTAAGCATAAAATATGATTGTTTTAGTCAACCAAGTTGTTTTAACCAATCTATTACACGCTTTAGATGCATGCATGGGTTGTATGCGACTTAGGCCATCCACAATGGGAGTTGTATGATGGTTTAATAGATTAAATGCGAATATAATATAGAGGAGAGAGAGTATGAAGTTGAATGGGGATACAACCGTGCAATAGAATTCTACTAAAAGTTTATGAATTTTTTAAGAATTAAAGTGAATGCATAGATTCTCTTTCCTACTTGGCAATCCATAAAACTCTCCATGAGTTTAATCCATTGGAGATGGCCTTAAATAGTTTACATGTTTAGCATTGCATATTTAATATATTGTGAGGGTTTAAACCGGTCACAAAGTTGGTTAAAAAATATTGACTATTATGATTTATATCGCACTTCTAGGGGTTGGGTTCTTTTGAGATTCATTTTATATGAGACTGTATTCTTACCATTTTCTTTTCGATTTTAATTAAGTTAACAATTTTGATGCCAATCCCTTAGTATGGATCCTTTACGTATTTCCTTATGAAATTTTATCACGTAGGGTCTCTTATATTTGTTTTCGTTAAAATCTTGTGAGTTCACTGAGCTATATCTATAGACCTTTTTGATTCAATGTCATTTTGGTAGACAACTAGACCAGTTTGAAGGGAAAACGTAAGGCTTCTACCAACAAATCTAATCAACTTCTAAGCTACTTGTAATTTCATATATGTCACAAAAAAGACTTGAATCTTGACCTCGAAAAAGATAGAAAACATCGGATACCGCTAGACTGGAATCCCATTGATTAGTGGTTTTGTTACATTTTTCATCCAATGGGATTTCATTCTATTATTCATGGTTGCAGAAATCGCTAATCGGCCGCTAATCGGTGGACTAGCGATTAGGAATTAATCGGCTAGACGGGGATTAATCGGGGACCATTAATTATTAAGAAAATTATTCAAAAATTTATAAATCTAATTTTAATCCTACAAAAAAAGCGATTAATCGGCGATTAGGTATGA